GGGAGGTCTGAGGAGGCGGAGGCAAGGAGAAACAAAAACAAGGACCAGGTCCGTAACAACCAGTTTTTTATATTTATTTTCACAGCTTGAGTATAAACAGGCCTAGCTCCAAGAAATGCCAACTTCTTTTCTGTGTGAACACTGCACCTGGAGCCTCTGGTGTCGATTGTCGGGAGGGAGTTGATAATATTTGCACCGACAACAGCCGTAAAAGAGGAAGAATGTACTACTACACCGAACCTACCGGGGTTCGACCTAAACCTGCAGTGAATAAATAAACACGTATTGTTTTGTTACGGCAGCCAGGTTTCTTCCCAGGAGTGAGTCCAGCTGTGCCCTTTGTCAGTGACTGTGTGTTTTGCTAGCGTATTGTTGCCTCAGGCCAAGAATGGAATCTAAGTGTTCCAGCCTCCCACAGAGAGGAGGCGGTTAGATTTAGAACGCTCCAGATGTAGGAGGGAGCACAAGAGGTTTGAAAATGTAGAGTGTTTACTACTTTGTTTTTGTTTTTCATAACTTTGCATGTCATTTGACTCGGTCTTGGGATCGGCTGCATGTTTATACAGCCGATCTCTGGTCTCTTCCTGCCCTCGCGGTCTCTCTCTGGTCTCTCTCTCTCTCTGGTCCTGGGTTCGAATCCCGGTCGGAAAACAGGGCCTTTGTGAGTGGAGTTTGGATCTTTTCCTTGTGTCTGCTTAGGATTCCTCCAGGTGCTCCGGTTTCCCCTACCACTAAAAAACATGCACAATAGTTCTGAATGTAGTGAGCAAGTGAATGGAGGGTGTTTGGTCGGAGGCTTTGATTGACCAGTGTGTTCGGCGTCTCTCTTCTGTCATTGCCGTGTGGAGAGAATGGAACAATATCTGAACTCGTAAATGCGCTATATAAATAAACACTACTTACGATGGGACGTTAAGATTATAAATGTAGGGAGTAATCCATATTGGAAACCTAATTATAATGCATGAATAGGAGCAGAATTCAGTGAAAACATCCTGATGCAAACAGTCTTCAGCAGATGCGTTTGTACTTTTTCGAATGTTAGCGCTGGCATCGCTCTTTCTGCTCGCCCTACCCGCACTCACGAAGCTATTGCCCTCCACTACCCCCCTCCCCCTCAGCCGCACATGTGCTGTTTACGGAGCTTACGTCTCAGAATATGGATCCCACATTTGAACGTGGATGGCGTGACCATAGAATGATAGAACCGGGAAGCGCGGAGAGGACAAGGCTTTCTTTTGGATGGATGTTTCGCTGAGTAAGCAGTAACTGGTGACGAAGACACGGGAAGCTTCAGGTTCGCCTCTGCAGCTTGTTTACCTCAGCTGTCTGTGCTAACAAGCGACCTGTAGTTTTTCTCAAGAAAGTGGGGGCCAGTTTTCCGCTGTGATTGGTCACAATCGGGACCCAAAACACATTCTCTTCCTTGTTTCACAAAAACTCGATCTGAAATTAAATGACACGCCAGCACAAATATGAGCTATTTATTCTTCAAAAGGATGTATATCCCAATGCACTGCATGGATATGGATTGAATTTTCGTAATGAATAAAAAAATAAAGTGAGGTAATGCAACTTTAAGTATTTCATTGAGCAATCACTGGTTTCATTGAAGTACAAAAACAGGAAGTGGAATGAGCGTAACATGAGAGACAGCCAACCACATGATTTATGATGAGTTATGATGAAAAGTTCTGTTATATTCCTGTTAATTCATAAAGCAATAAATAACAAAATTCCCATTATTTCCTATGGTATTTCCTTACTCCATCTTTGGCTGGAGTAAGGATTCGCACATCAATACCTACAGATCGGGTGCGTAAGAGGAGAGGCCTGTATAGCCAAATGTAATGGAGAGAAAGATTCCCGCACACAGTCTTACTTGCAAATTAAAAATAATTTATTGGAAGTGCACTATTACAAATTTCCGTCTGAAGCAAGTACAACATTATAGCTATGACTAATTTGCAATTTCTGTCTCTAGAAGGGAAACACAAAAACATTACCTGCCTCTGAGACAAATGCCCAAAAATAAAAATTCTAAACCCCTTTGTGGCTCTGGTGTGAGAGAGGCTCTATATGAATAATGATTATTTACTTAATTACTTTATTAGCCTTACACAAATTCAACATTGACTGAAAATGTGTCTGTTTATGTTTAATAGATCAGTCCAAGTTCGGTTTGACGAGTTCCAAGTTGGTCCTCCTGAGACCAACGATACAGACCGTGTGTGTTTTCAGTTAGGGAACTTTCATGTGTGACCACAGTGAAAGTATATATTGTGCAAACATTTATGTGCAGCAGTGGTCTCTTGCTTTTACACAGTTTACCTTTGTGGCCTGTTTTGTGGAGTTTTTTGTGCCTGTATGTTCTCCAACATCATGTATAACATCATATAACCACTAGTATTACGTGACTTACTTTTATTTAAAGACAGAGAAAAACCTTTTGTGGCTTGTGTGCACCGCAGTGATTAGTTTTGAGGACTCTATCTCTGGTTTCTCTCTCTCTGGTCTCTGGTTTGTCTCTCTGGTTTCTCTCTCTCTGGTTTCTCTCTGCTCTCTCTGGTCTTTCTCTGATCTCTCTGGTCTTTCTCTGGTCTTTCTCTGGTCTTTCTCTGGTCTCTCTCTGGTCTCTCTCTCTGGTCTCTCTCTCTGGTCTCTCTCTCTGGTCTCTCTCTCTGGTCTCTCTCTAGTCTCTCTCTCTGGTCTCTCTCTGGTCTTCCTGCAGCCCTTGTCATTGATGGCGTCAGTATCAGGATCAGACATGAAAAATCTATTTTGATCCATTTGTTTTGGTGCAACAGCTGGACACAGTTTAAGCATGAACGCAGCAGGAGAACAGACCTACAGCAGCACGTTCCAAATCTGTCAAATCTTTCAAACCTGCAATTTTAATGAAAACAAGAAAAGGCTTGTAGATTAGCGTTATCACAATCTATTGAAACGTAAAAGCTGCTTAATGTGTCTCATTCATTTTGTATCAGACTGAGGCAGAGACTATCCTCTGGGAACAGCTAAAACTCACCCTGTGTGAACCTGGCTCCCAGATTACAATCCTTTTTCATATCTAACACTATTTGACACAAGTGACCCAGACTTTATTTTTAGACCGGGGAAGCAGTCTTCAGTTCAGGCCGTTTGTGCAGCTGCTGTTTATCTGCTTCACCAGTTTAGAGCTGGTGTTTCCCTTCAACTGACATGACCCAGAGAGAAGTGCTCACTGCTGCAGGAACTGAGTCTGCAGTGGGATTCACACACGTAGACTGAAGTCTGTTCAAACTTCCTCCTTCACTTTTGAAGAAACCATTTAAATTTGAAGCTGGGGTTTTTCCTCAGACTCAGAAAAGCAACTGTATCTGTCTTTCAATGGCCTCAAAGTACGTCTGTGACATGTTAGAGCCCAATGAACCAACTCTGAGGAGCACAGGGACTGGCCTCCTGCTGGTTCTAGAGTCAGGACTAAACATGGGGAGGCAGCACTTCAGAGTTAATCCGCTATAACCATGAACTGTCTCCCAGAAAATGTGAGACAGGCTTCTACTCTGCGTTAGAAATCCAAGTTATATCTGTAATCTGTAAATAAGTAAATTCTTAAATCATGTGCAACGTGCAATTCTGCAACTTCAGAATATCCACTGAACAATGTCACTTTACTTATCTACTTATTATCCTGCACTATATGTGCAGTATATAACCCTGCACTACTACATGTATATATTTTTTGACTGGTATTGAAGCCTTTTCAGCATCTATAGCTAGTTAGGCCAGTTAAGAAACATAGCTACTACTCATTTTATATATTTTGTGTGATCCCTGTGTGCTCTTACCACTGTCCTGTATGTGCGCTGCAACAACGAAATTTCCCCACTGTGGGACGAATAAAGGAACTCTTATCTTAAAAAAAAGTTTGGTTTAACTGTGTGTAAACCTGAAGTATTATATTGTTTTCTGTTAATTGCACTGTCATTATTTATTATTTTTCTATCTTGTTTTATTAAGCGCTTTAAGTGACTTGTCTCTGATATTATACAAATAAACTTTCCTTGCCCCTCCAAACTTTTAAAACATCCAAACATCCAAACAAATCCAGCTCCTCGCTCTCAAAGCACTTTGCTTCTGTCACTTGTTTGTCTCAGCTTTTTATAACAAAAACATGACAAAGAGAGAAGCAGCCTCCCTCGGCCAATCAGATTTCAGCCCAAAGAGTCAAATAGTGACTCACAGGGACCCCTCACACAATTATGCAAAAAATAACATGTTTTCTAATAAGACTTTCTGTTGGGTCAACTTTGAACGCATAAATAAGGTGTTTTATTGTATTTCTACTTGTACTTTCTCACAGTCATTCTGTTACTTACAGTTTTAGATGCAAGATGAAAGAATTGATTTGTCAGTTGCAGTAAAACCACATTGGAAAAACTGCAACACCCCAGTGTGCACCAGACAGAGGAGATTGTACACACCGGAGCTGCTGCCACGCCCCCAGTTTTATTGTTTGCACCAAGTATAAGATTTCCAAGAAAACCAGCAAACATTTTTCATAGTGCACAAGGATTTCCATTATATTTAGTTGTTTACCAATTACAGATTTCAGGGCTTGTGTCTCTTTAAACCATTAGAATTCAATCGTCACATCAATATTCCCACTTACCCTACATCTGCCGGACAATCATTCCCACTTCCCACCCATTAGCGGCCACTTTATCTGCTCGTCCAATCTAATCGGGAACAATCGAACCCACAGACACAGACGGATCCCTGCCCGCTCCAGCTTCACCTCGTCATTAAGTTACTATGGAATGTCGTTAATCCCGACTGTCGCATACCTCGCACTAAAACCAAAGTTACCAAACCCCCCTCGCTCCCAGCCACGGCCCCTCGCAAGCCCCTGACACATTTCCAGAGAAGATTCCTGCATCTTTAAGTAGCGTACGAGGGATGTAGAGTCTGTTTGGGTCGGACATGTTGAACACCTTGCTCTCCTGTTGTCCCCGCAGACCCAGAAGAGACGCCTACATCTCCATGATGGGACGAACGGACACGCCGCAAGACCGGTCAGTACGGCTTTCTCTTCTGCCTTTCTCAGTCTGGTCTCGGCCTCGGTTTATTAGCAAAAGCAAGAGGTTTCGTTGGGTTGGAGACTGACTGGTTGTAAAGTTAGGCTGAACTTATGGTCTTGGGTTGATGATGTGTTTAGGAATTAGTTTTAATTGTATTGCTCCAAAACGTCCAGGATCCAAGATTTCAGGCCGAGACTAGTCTTCAGGTCCAGGGAGTCCAGGGTTTCAGGCCGGGGACTAGTCTTAAGGTGTCCAGGGTTTTGTTCTGTTTTAAAGGGGTTAAACTACTTCTCCTGACCCTCATCTCTCTGGTTTCTCTGTATGACGCCCAAACGCTTAATAAAATAAAACAAAAGGTCTTTTTGTTTTTGCTTTGTCCAGAGGCTGCTTGGTCGGGATCATCTTCTTCATTCTGGGCCTGGGGACTCTGTTGCCATGGAACTTCTTCATGACAGCTTCTTTGGTAAAAAAAAAACGCCAACATTTAGAAACCGGGAGTGATTTACAGCAGTCGTCTCCAGGTTTTTCCCCTGGAGAGACTGTTTTTCTCGACAAAAGGGGATTCCCCTTTAGACAGTTGAGAAAGTCAATATGTTTGTGAGCTACAATGAGTTAAGAGTTTGTGTCTTAGTTTGATGGAAATGTCATGCATGAAACAGCAGTTGTATTATTTGTTCCATTGGAAAATCTTGTTTCAAAATGTGGGTAATTTAAAACTTTTTGGCTTTTTCATTGATGATTTAAGATAATCCTCTTCTTCCTACAGTGGGGAAATTTCAGGGAGCCATAAAACAATAACTATATTTATATTTCGATATATAAAAAATTGGGTCGATATAATTGAAAAAACAGGAAGTAAAGCAGAGTCAGAAGCACACGGCATTCTGGGGGACGTAGGCAGAGGCTTCTCGACCTATCACGGCCGAGCATGAACTGTAGAGCATTCCGGGGAAATGCAAAAAAAAAAAAAAAAACAGCAACTACAACCAGACCATGCGTTGCAGCCATGGATCTATAGATTGGGTTGGGTTTCAATGAGTGGCACGTGTATAGGAGGATCTTTGTTTACACCCGCATGCGCCACTCGCTGTGTGGCAAGAAGACAGAGCGGCGCATACTGAACATGGATGCGACGAGTACTTTTAAAAGACTAAGCGGGCGAATAGCACTGTATATAAGCACTTTAACGCAAGAAGATCAGAGAAGCTATAAAGACAAGCTAAAAATAAGTATGAGACCGAACTGAACAAATTCAAAGCCCATATGAGACCTGGGATTACGAGTAAAAACATTGGTCAGATTTACCTCTGTCTTGGATCTGCTGGGACTGGGACTCGGAGACATTTATTCTTACTTCATAGAAAACACGGGACCCTTCACTCAAGAACGGTCCGTGGTGTAAATCCATTTCTCGCATTTTTCACCGCTGTAAAGTGGCCTGGCATTTTGCCGTCGCGGTAAAGCACATTAAAAGCGGCTGGCCCGTGTTTGCTGTTACTTACGGTAAAGGTGGAACAGGAAGCCGCGGGGATGAGCAACCAAAATGGAAGGTTTAAAATCAATCATCACTCATGAACGAATGAATGAGTGAACAAGTCCACAGTGAAAGTAGTTGCAAAACTTAAATTTATTTATGAATTTTTATCCCCCCAGCTTCCCGTTCTACGTTTACCGTAGGTAACAGCATAAAAGGGCAACCACTTTAACACGGCCGTTTTTCGCTGTTCTTTTCCGAAAGAATTAGAAAAAAAACTTCATCTGTCCCCAGCGGGCCGTACAACCGACCACACAACAAGAACGGACCATTTGATTTAGTAAAACCTCTCTACAAACGTTTAAAAATAGCTAACTCTCTAGCATCCAGGTAGCTTTCTATGCTGTATTGCCACCCGGTCACATGACCGGAGCGGAAAAACTATAAACAACTCCTCCTCCTAAAGACTCAGCAGTTCTCATTGTATAGACTGACAGCAGCAGGAAGAAAACAGCTGCGGAACCTCTCCTTCAAAGCGAGGGTGGATCAGTCTGTCACTGCAGCTACTCTCCAGAGCAGACAGTGTGTCCTGCAGGGGCAATAAGAATGCAATTTGTCTTAAAGATGCAGTAAGTGATTTTGTTATCTTAGCCGTAGCACCGACTGGAAACCACTACCCCTCCCCTCCCCCCTCTACCAAACCACTCCCCCCTCTACCAAACCACTCCCCCTCCCCTCCCCTTGCCTCTCCACCAAACCACTCCCCCCTCCCCTCGCCTCTCCATCAAACCACTCCCCCCTCCCCTCCTTCCCACCAAACCAAACATCCAGCATTTTCCTTTCTTTGTCACAACAGGGCGAGTGGGCGGCAAACGTGAAATTGGCATTTTCTGTTCAGCCATTTTAGGTTTTAGAAAATCCAATAACCACCTTCCAGAGGGTGAAGGGGGTAAACGCATCCCATTGGTTTGTTGGGGATGAAGGAATCTCATTAGGCCCGAGCCCCGAACGGGGTAAGGGCCTATTGCTTTCACAATGGTGAAAACAAATGGTGGCGGTGCGTGACGGACGCGCCAGCGCCCGTCACTCACCAAAACGTGACAGTTGCGTGCGTAAACTCAAAAGCTTTAAAATGATGAATCACATGCCATTGAAACCTATATTGTTTTTGCTCGAGACAAGTCACAAAAAATTCCTTTTTTATTTATTTATTTATTTATTTATTTCTTTCTTTCTTTCTTTTTTCTTCTGCACTTTGAGCCTTAATTTGACCCCCTGAATATGCATGAAAAGTTGTTAATTTTGGCCCAAAAATCAGACCTGGCGAAAAATTTGATATTTTGGTGTTTATTTTTATGGGACTCAAAAAATGACAGAACAGCGCCACCTACAACAGCCAAAATAATACCCCTATGGGACTTTTCGGAGGTCAAGTTTGTCGAGAAACATGAGATTTGGTACACATGTTCCTCAAGTCAAGACAAGAAAAAAATATTATTATGGCCCCGTCCCCTGACAAACAGGAAGCCCATAAATTTCACTGCAAAATGGAAAAATGATCTGCAATCATTTTCATACATGTCGGTTGGAAAGCGACTCCTCCTCGGCCGTTTCACCGATTCGCCTCAAAATCGCTCCACATCATCTCAACACATGTACCTTCAAAATGACCTCAGGGATTTTTGATCAGTGAAACATTGTTTGAGCAGCGGAGCGGCAAAATGTGACATTTTTTCGGCCGTTTTTGACAACATTAAATTTGCTCCCGTTTGCACAAACAAAGTCTGATTTGCACAAAACTTTAATACATTGTTCAACTCTAGGGTCTAGGTCGTTTGAAGGTGAATAAATTCACATTGACACATTAGCGCCCCCTACAGACTATTTCAAAGTTTTAGATGGGCATTTTCAAATTTAGTTTTTTCAAAATGTTTGAAATTTTGCACATAAATCTGTTTTGCCCTCTTGATTCAAAAAGTCAATAGGGTCCAAGGCTTATTTTTTACCCTGTTGCCGTGGCGACGAGAAACGCTCCCCATTCATTGCAAATGTACACCTCACACAAACATCAAACCAGCCTCGGCCGTTTCACCGATTCGCCTCAAAATCGCTCCACATCATATCAATATATGTACCAACAAAATGACTTCAGGGAATTTTGATCAGTGAAACGTTGTTCGAGCAGCAGAGCGCCAAAAAGTGGCGTATTTTTTTTCAGTTTTTGACAATAGAAAAATTGTTTCTATTTGCACAAACAAAGTCTCATTTGCACAAAACTTGAATCCATGGTTCAACTCTTGGGCCTAGGTCCTTTGAAAGTTAAAATTTTGAAATTGGCTCTATAGCGCCACCTACAACAGCCAATTTAAAAATGCCTATGGGAGGGGTTCGAGGTCAAAATTGTCATAAAACCATGTAATTTGGAACACATGTTCCTCAAGTCAAAACATTGAATTTTTTTTATTATGGCTAAGCCTTCTGACAAACAGGAAGCCCATAAATTTCACTGCAAAATGGAAAAATGAAAAATAATCATTTTCATACATGTCGGTTGGAAAGCGACTCCTCCTCGGCCGTTTCACCGATTCGCCTCAAAATTGCTCCACATCATCTCAACACATGTACCTTCAAAATGACCTCAGGGATTTTTGATCAGTGAAACATTGTTTGAGCAGCGGAGTGGCAAAATGTGACCTTTTTTTGGCCGTTTTTGACAACATTAAATTTGCTCCCGTTTGCACAAACAAAGTCTGATTTGCACAAAACTTGAATACATTGTTCACCTCTAGGGTTTAGGTCATTTGAAAGTTAAATGATTCCAGTTGACTCATTAGCGCCCCCTACAGACTATTTCAAAGTTTTAGATGGGCATTTTCAAATTTAGTTTTTTCAAAATGTTTGAAATTTTGCACATACATCTGTTTTGCCCTCTTGATTCAAAAAGTCAAAAGGGTCCAAGGCTTATTTTTTACCCTATTGCCGTGGCAACGACAAACGCTCCCCATTCATTGTAAATGTACACCTCACACAAACATCAAACCAGCCTCAACCGTATCACCGATTCGCCTCAAAATCGCTCCACATTATCTCAACACATGTACCATCAAAATGACTTCAGGGAATTTTGATCAGTGAAACGTTGTTTGAGCAGCAGAGCGCCAAAAAGTGGCGTAATTTTTTTCCGTTTTTGACAATATAAAATTTGCTTCCGTTTGCACAAACAAAGTCTGATTTGCACAAAACCTGAATCCATGGTTCAACTCTTGGGTCTAGGTCATTTGAAAGTAAAAATGTTGAAATTGGCTCTATAGCGCCACCTACAACAGCCAATTTAAAAATGCCTATGGGAGGGGTTTGAGGTCAAAATTGTCGTAGAGCCATGTAATTTGGTACACATATTCCTCAAGTCAAGACATGGAAAAAATGTTATTATGGCTAAGCCCTCTGACAAACAGGAAGCCCATAAATTTCATTGCAAAATGGAAAAATTAAAACCAATCATTTTCATACATGTCGGTTGGAAAGCGACTCCTCCTCGACCGTTTCACCGATTGGCCTCAAAATTGCTCCAAATTATCTCAACACATTTATCTTCAAAATGACCTCAGGGAATTGTGATCAGTGAAACGTTGTTTGAGCAGCGGAGCGGCAAAATGGAAAGTTTTTTTCTGCCGTTTTTGACAACATTAATTTTTTTCCCGTTTGCACATACAAAGTCTGATTTGCATCAAACTTGAACCCATTGTTCAACTCCAGGGTTTAGGTCAGGTGAAAGTGAAATATTTTAAATTGGCCCATTAGCGCCCCCTAAAGACCTAGTCAAAATTTACATGGGGAGCCAAACCAGCTCTACTTATCATATTCATTACAATTTGACTAACAATCTTCTGTGGCTACGGAAACAAATCATCACACGGCGGCGCCAACTCCTTTAAGCGGTGCTGCAAGGTACGGTGTGGTGCGGCGTAGTGCGGGGCGTTGTGGAGCGG